TCAACTGAATGTATTTTTGTAAATATGAACTTATTTGACCCAACACTATAATGATGCACCACAGGTTGACTTGGCGCTGTTGGTATTTATTACCCCGTACATAAAGCAGATGCAAAGAAATGCATACACACAGACACACAGAGTCCTGTACACTGACAGCCAGATTTTGTTTTTTCATCAAGCGGTTGTAGTGCTCCAGAAAACCATAGGAGGCTCAGCTAAAAGCCCTAACTGTCTGGCATGCACGAACTGGGCAGCCAGTGAGACCCCACTGCAAGGCTCTCAGACCCAGTAAGGCCTAATGGTGATGGGTGCAAAAGCTTTCCAGCTATGAAAGCAAAGGAGAGAAATGACATGTGACATCACCACAGCCAGGGAAAAACAAAGTCGGCTTCACACATCAAAGTGCCGCCAGGGTAATTTATCACAGTCAGAGAGAGAAAGAGGTGGGGGGTGGTGGGCTGTGGGGGGGCAGTGGTTTGAAGTACCCTGACCAATTCAAACAATTATGATTTGGAAGCTACACAGGGGGCAGAGAGAGATGTTGACGGATTGAAGCAAACTGTCGTCTGCTAAAGAGATGCCCTGCACCAAGAATACACGTTCTGACATTCACTCTCACAATATTAAGCTGCACGAACCAGCCTGAGCAGAAATTATGTCTCACTGTCTCCACACCTAAAGGAATTCTCTCACATTTTGGAAAATACACTTATATGCCCTCAGTCTGTGGGATAGATGTGAAGACTGTCCTGCAGGATTATTTAGCTTAGCATAAAAGCTCTAAGCATGTGCAGTGGAGTCGCTCACCTTGTGCATACACCAAAAATATATGTGGCTGACTGAATATGTGCAGTAGTTTCTCTCCTGCTAGCTCCACCCACAAATTCCCACTCAGTTCATAGACTTTACATTGTGATGATATCACATATTGTTAAATCTTTTTTTTTTTTTTTTTGGCTCAAGGAAAGTTTTACAAATATCGAACATCCATGAAAAAAATCATAATAAAAGGAATAATAATTGACCATGTTTGCAGTTTGAGGTGTCCTGTCAGCAGACATCTCTTTTACAATGATAGTCTATGGGGAAAATGCTTTTTGGGCTGCAGAGGATTTTTTGCTGCAATACCGCAAGTGGCCACTGGGAACTTAGTTACCACGTTATGCAACTTAGGGCTGAAATGTGAACAAAATGGCTGTAGCTCACTAGAAACATTAGATATCAGCATGTCAAAGGACTATTTTAGTGCCTTATGTCTACCAAAGAGAAAATGTTACATTGACAAACCTAATATTGTCTGTCGATCTCAGTGTCCTCCTCACTTTACCTTGCTAATCTTGGAGAAATGATCCCACTGAATGGCCAGTAGTGACATACAAGATCATCATTTAAGCTAACAAAAATTAAAACCAGTGGTGTGTCTCAAATCACATACTTCCGTAAGTACACTTCCATGTAGTATACTATGTGCACTATATACTTATTGGCGTTGTGCGCAAATTTCGACAGGGTAGTGTTGTCTCAAACCAAACATGGCCGTTGTGCACTCACCGGAAAGGACGACCGCAAATTAGCTAGTTAGCAAACTAGCATTAGTATTCGCGTTATCGTTCGGGGTACCAAATCATTACAGACTGCTAAATTAGCCCAATAAACATACTGCTGGCTTATACCCGACAACAGTATAGTGGTACTTAGTGCAAAAAAACAAATGTATTTGTACAATGCAGCAACATTCACGGTCGCACAGTCCTCGGCCACTATTTCCAGTTTGAAAAGTGGTCCCTCCCCTTCCGCTACGTAGCCAAGATGGCGATCATTGAGGGCAAGAAGTGTCCATAGTTCCACACTCAACTTTTTGACTGTTTTGAGTGCACCATCCGGGTACTCATAGTGCACTGCATTTTTTCATACTTCTCAGTGTGAATGCACTTATGCACTCAAAATAGTAAGTGTATAGAAGTACGCGATTTGAGACACAGCACAGGCCTTACATAACTTAGATAGCTTCAGCCTCTACAGCTTGTCGGGCCAAATTAGTGAAGTACTTGCTGCATGTAGGCACACTGAGTGTCAGGATACCACAATTTTCCCATATATTCCTGCTGACGCCTCATTCCCTATTGCTTAAAAGCTCACCTTTTTGGTTCGGCAGCTTGTAGTAACTTAGTTATGGATTCTTTACCATGTTTTTAGTGCATCTCACCACAAAGCAGTTTTTAGGTATTTTTGTGTTGTTTGCTACCAGACGTTAATGACAAGAAGGCACCTTCACGCAATACTAAGTCAGTGGAGAGCGATGTATAATTTTTCCCTTTGCTCTGTCTCAATGTGGGCAGCACTGGTTGTGACCCAGATGGAAAGCTAGTTTGCTAGCTAGCTAATATTAGCTAGCTTGCTAATGAATACCAGGAAATATGATGTCAGTGGTACATTTTCCATTTTCTTATATTCCATACCTGCTAAATGGTGACTGCAATACTGGTGAATGGGAAGCAAATATTTGCCGGTGTTAATTTCGCTCATGTGTAACCGTACCCTAACACTTGTCTTACTCCAGAGCTGTAATATTTACACATTGCGGCCTGTATATATATCCTGCCATACTGTAACTACACTATACTGAACTCTTAACTTGAATTTGCAGAACTTTAAACCAGTGGTTTTAGAAATTAAACAACTGAAGTATATCCCTTTAAGTAAGGCTTAACAGATGCAACTAAACATACGGGAGATGCTAATCAATCACACTCTAACCTGCCTGCACTGTCCTTAGCAGAGGTCTAATCAGGCAGCATAAGTGAAAACACCTGTGTGGGTGGACCAGGGCTGTCTTGGGCCAAGAAGGAAACTGTGGTCTGAGGGTGAGCTAACTGCGCAGGCTGAGGCATTTCTGACCACTGACCCACAACAGCTAGGCCAGGGCAACAACTTTAAACAGCACCTTAGCTGTCCTGTCCTGTTGTTGGTAGCTTAGCAAACTTTCCACATTAACTCTGAAGAAACAGCTGTGACTTGTGGATGTAGTTAACAAGAATCGAGTAAGCTAATGAGTTAATACAGACAGTTTTGAAACCGTTGAAAGGTATATTTTTCTCTATTTCCTCCCCTTTTTCTGAGAACACAATGCAGCAGCATTCTCTGCTACCAGCGCTAAGCTAGGCTAAATATGTCCTGAACCAAGCTCTTGAACTCTTCCAACTTCTGGTAAGACAGGCAATGGGCATATTTTTAAAAATGTTGAAATATTTCTTTAATGTACTATGTTTTGAAATTCGAGTGTTTCACTTATCTTTTTCTGTAATAAGAACATAGACATTAAACTCCATTAGCATAACAATACGCTATGTTTAAAGACTATAACCTATGTAGCTCATTTTATTTTAAAAAGTAAAAGACTGACCTACCAAAAAATGTTGGAAATGCTTTTTTATATTAAGGTCTGTACACACAAACTAAAAGTATTCTCATTCAGTATATCTGGTGTAACGTTATATAACCAGGCTTATTTTCAGAACAGTAACAGTAGTCAGCCTGATCTGCAAGTTCTTAACTGTTACTTTCCAATTAGCTCATCTTCATTTGCTAAGAAAACAAGATAATAGTTCTTTTTAGTTCAAAATATTAAGTTAAACTGGTATACGTGGTCACATTACTCAGTTAGAGTTTCTACGTGGTTTTGCTCATGCAGTGTGCAGTGTGGAGCATTGTATCCATTGATTTACCAAGGACACGTATAACTTTGGATTCACTGTTTCCACTCAGTTTTATGAATGCTTATGGTCATACATTATTTGCATATTAAATTACTGTGTAGTATTAACCAGAGGTGTGGACTTGAGTGACATGACTTGGACACAAGTCAAACTCGAGTCACCAATTTGGTGACTCGATTTGACAAAATCAAAAAAGACCTGCAACTCAACTTGGACTTTGACATGAATGACTTGTGCCTTCACTTGGATACCTTCCTCCAAACCCAAAGATTAAAAAGTATGTTATTTAAAGAATGTGCAATGACACAATTTCCCTTTATTTCCTGAATTAGCTTATGTTACTAATGTTCATACCCAACAAGTCACGCTTAATTCCACAGATCCACTTTGTAAGTCAGATTCCACCGCTAGGTATATTGCGATAAGTTGACGGTTTTCATGCCGTGTACGTTTGCTTATCTAAAATGTAACTGGACGGTGAATCTCCCCTTTATTTTAGTTATTTTCAAAGGGGATACTTTTTACACCTACTAACAGTAACAAAATGGTTTCAAGTTTCAGTTATAGTAATAAACATTACAAAAATAACCCTTCTGTTTTCATTCCCATTCTGACTGATAATATAAATTCTGTAATACCCTGAAACTGCGATATTTTCTGAGAGGGTTATCGTTCCGTGAAAATCTCATACCATAGCAACCCTACAGGAGACAACAATGAAGTTAGGTTACTTAGCACCAGTATGAAAAATTGTACAGAAGATAATTTTATTCAAATACATAACTACGTGGTGGTCAACGAAAATGCATTACAGTGTGCAAAATGCAATGCAAATGGTCGAACATTACAGACAGAGATTTAACAAACTGGTTTTAACAAATAATAAATACACATTTTTAAAAGCATCTATGATTATTGTGAATTGATTACATTATAATTTTGTTGTTAAAATGCCATTACATTTGATGAAGAGCACATTATGACTTGTTTAAGACTGGAAATTTCAAAGCTTAGGACTTGGGACTTGAATCAGAACTTGTCTGTCTTTACTTGGGAGTTGACTTGGGACTGGTCAACCGTGACTTGGGCCTTGCCTTTGGACTTAAGTGCAAAGACTTGAAACTTACTTGTGACTTGCAAAACAATAATTTGGTCCCATCTCTGGTATTACCTGTTAAGTCTACTAGGCATTTATAAATGTTTAGTACAACGTAACTATATTGAAAATTATGATATTAGTGTCATAATATTTTCATGTTTTCTCTTTTTCCATTTCCACAGGGCCTACATGAGTGTGAAAGAGCTAAAGGAGGAGCTTCACCTGAGCGGCACTGACACACTCAATGTTTTCTTTGCAAGCAACTCAGTGCATGAAGAGCTGGCAGGAGCAGCAACCTGGCCATGGGCAAAGGAAGCTCTTACCCACCAAGGTAGGTTAAATTACATCATACTGTGTATTAAACATAAACGTCACGTCTCTTACGTCTGTCTTTATTCCTCTGTTTTCTGTCTTCCTCTTTATTCCCCCCTCCTTTTCCAGTTTTGTCATTAGTTTTTCTTTCTATAATCCTGTTTCTCTTTCTCTGTCTTTCTCATTTTTATTCACCCCTTCATCCCTTCCCTTGCCCTCCATCCTTTGTTGTCTGCTTTGGCGATATCCAAACGAGATGGGGAGAGCAATTGGAGCTGGCAGAGATTTTCCCGGCACATTGCCTCTTTCCTCTTCCAATCATTAGGCCCTTTCCACTGGAAAAGGCTAATCAACCCAACAACAACCAAACAAACAAACGGCAGTGTGGGCTCTGTACCATTGTTGCCACCCATGCCCACTTGCCAGCTGTTCTTTATTTATGCACTTTGTTTTCTTCTTGTGCTAGTACAAAGTAGTGAGTGGAATCCAAAGTAGGAGACGTGGGGTAGATGTACCTCCAGTGGAAGCATTTATCTCACTGGAAGAACTCACATGTCCCCACATAACAAACACAATCTGTGCAGTGCTGCTACTTGTAGCATTTCCAGCACCTTGGTGAATCCCTGCATCGAAAACAGGCTGTTAAATAGCAGATGGGATTTTTATTTACTCACAGTCACGAATGCATTATTTAATGGATACTGCGTATGACTAAGTTAAAGAAACAGCAAATTAAACAATGGTGCTTTGTATTGTTTTACCCTGCATAAACTGGTGATGGAATGATTAGATTAATTCCACCAAAAGTGATTGATTTCATGATTGACAATTAATTGATTATTAATATTTTAAGCCAATTTTCCATATAATTAGGTTTATAATAGTTATACTTTTGACTCTCAGATTAAATAAGCAGTTTACTTTGATTATAATGTCACTATGAGCTCTGGAAACTTTTCCTGGGCATTTGGTGTTTAGAAATTTAATAAACCCCAATTGATAATTGAGAAATTAAAAGCATAAGTGGCTGATTTAATTAAAGTAATTGTTAGTTGTAGCCTTATCAGCAAAATGACGTCTTATGTCTACAATACATTAATCAAATTACCATGAAAGTGTGCCAAAATGCTCTCACAGCAGAATCGAAGCAAAACACCTACATTATTAAACAAACAATAAAAAGGTTTATATTTGCACTGGCATTTAGCATATGAAAATGTTGTCACCATTGATCTTGAAAACTGGTTACAACGATGCAAAAGATCTTTCCTATTTCTGACTTAAGATTAAATTTCTTTGCATTTTTTGACTTATTTGATGTGAAAGGGGAGAACAAAGCTCTTTGCCAAACTATATTTAATCAAAGTTGAATATTAATATAATATACATGTTTTTGCTCATGCCACCACCAGAGGAGCTGGACATCTCAGGCAAGGGGAGCACACAGTGCACAGCTCCCTGTGATCACAGTGAATCAAACAGCAAAATTAGGCTTAAACTTTTCATTATTTTTCTAGTGTCCAGCTGTTCAATTTTGGGGCAATAACATACCTTGTTGTTTCTTCAGAATCAAATATAACTGATTATTATCTAATGTAATATGTTGTTGTTCTGTAGACGTATGGGCTTGGGATAATTATTAATTTAAATGGGGATGATTTGATGCTACCAGTCTTATTGCCAGAGTAGATGTTATATTTTCGAATTAAACTGTTGAATTTAGTCCTCCGCTGAATGTCTCCCACATGACATTTGTTTCTGTTGCTCAGCATCTGTCCCTGTTTAAAAACAAGTTAGCAGATGACAAGTCGTCTCCGGAGGCCCTGTTGTTTAGTGTCTTCGTATTTAATGTCTTCATTGTTCAAAGTCTCCACCACTGAACATGCTGTTTCTAATTAGAAAACCAATAACTGTCATGTCTGTTCTTGATTCCGCGATTATCAGCATGCTGCAGAAAACCTGTATCTCCACTTTTAGGCAATTTTTGTAAGAATTCACCATAGCCCCAAAACCGTAGCTGATTTTAAAATTGCTGTCTTTGGAATACTTTGTTAATGATTTGTATTTTTATTTGTCTGTCATTTTCTAATTAAATTTGTTTTGTTGTTTTTCTTTAATAGTATAAAATATATAGATTTGTCTTAATCCGCACCTGAACCTGCATGAAAATACTGACAGAATTATATTTCGTTCAGAGAGGTACATTAGTAAAAAATATCCAACAATGCATCATCTTGTCCTGTTAAAAAACATTTTAGAAAATCCACAGCAAAACAAATCTCTTGCTCTTGCATGAACAAACCTCCTACCAAATTTTATTGAGATCTGTGAATGTATTTTGAGATATCCTGTCAACTAGGGGAGACCAGGGACAGTTGTAACAAGGCGTTATCGTATCATCAGTCATGTTTTCATCTCATGTCAACAAGCCTGACTACTAGTTTAACATTTGTCAATTCTAATTTTAGCTTAAAAACACTCATTCTAATTATACTTGCTTGGATTATTAGAAATTTAATTTCAGAACAGTATCCAAAAAATACACTGATAGAGAAGTTTAATTTTTACCTGAATAAAAACAAAACAAAACAAACAAACAAAAAAAAAACTTTTTCTAAAAAACTTTCTTTGGAATAGGGATGTCAGTTTCTCTTAATTTTGACACCCTTTAACCGATAACTAACCAATTAATTTTTAAGGAAAAAAAGAAAAACAGAAAGTGGCGTGAGATAAAATAGGCTTTCCATTAACTCATTGTGAGCTTTAGCACTGCAATTTAAAGCACAATTTGTATGAAGGTCTTTGCGGACAGACTGCCAGCTAGCTGCATTAGCATGCGGAAACTTAGTGCCTGTATCCTATTGTTTGTTCTATGCTAGTTAGCTAACGGTAGCCTTGGCTTCTCCGCATTGGGTCAGGTGGGAGCTAAGTTAGCTTACAACGCCACTCATTTGCGATTATAAGCAGCTCAATTTTGAGGCGGGGTGACCCAGTAGGAGACTGAAAAGTGGGCACAATGTTTCCAAAGCAATGCTGTCAGGTTGGGACGGCATTACTAGTGGTAATCGCAGAATGAGCGCTGCTGCTAGCTAGCTCCCACCTGACCTGGCTGGTGCACAGTGCAGAGTGGCCAAGGCTGGCTGACCACTGGAGACCTGAGGGTGGGCACTATGTTTCTGTGTGGTAAGCCGGCTGTCTGTCTCCAATCAGATCCGGGTAGTGTGCAGTGCAGTAAACTGAAGAGCAGCAAAATATAGTGTAGTCACTGGTCAAAATTATTCTCAGTGGTTAGCTGTTTGAGCACATTGACATCCTTACTCTGGAAGCTTCAAATGTGGCTCCTTTTTTGTAAGCAAAAGGGCAATCTAACTGAGCATGTGCAGAGTGAGTTTCATTACTCTAGCCTGTTTCTGATTGGAGGAATTGAAGGTGCTATCACCCATGTTACAGCTATCCCTGGTCTCCCCTAACGGACAGACCAATAAACAGCACTTAAATCATAACCTTAAGCAAGGGGCAGAGGATACACACAAGATCCAAGCAAAAAGCATGTTAGCACACATACTTAACATGTACTTCAGAGCGGATGTAGAGAGGTCGTTATCATCATTATTAGAAAAGTAATTTAGTGTGCTTATGGAAACGTAACAATGGTATTTTTCCATGCACTGTGTTCTTCCACGCAGGCTTGTTAAAGAATGCTTTTCCAAGCAACCATTCATGATTAGACAGGATGTCTGATTTTCCTTCTGTTTTCTCATTATGATCTATCTTTCTGAATCCAGCCTGCCTACCTACCATTACACTGTGTTAAGTGTGGGTCACACAGAATTCATATCCCACCTTTTTATATGCAAATGGACTTATGATACCTACTGTATGACACCTTCAAAGTTCATTTATCGGCCTTCTTTAAACATTCTGCTGCACCGTAAACCGACTCATGCAGCCTAGTATCAGTCTTTAAATATTGGTGGTTTATTTTCTATATATAATGTATGAAGTTCATAACATTAATGCATCTTTGTCCATATGATTGATTTAGATGTTTTCTTTCTGATCATCTTTAGTGGCTTTGGTGTTGAGAGTAGCAGGTATATTTTAGTGCATTTTCAGTGGCACATGTTGGCTCCAAGGCCATTAAATTTCTCATGTAAAAGATAAAACAGTGGTGAAAGTTGCCAGTTATCAGGAAAATGAGGCAAAGGTTTTGGCAGAGCATTCCTCTATATTGAAAGCAGGCAAAAACGACCCATGTCCACCCGTAGGCACCTTACCTTATCCTATTTCCTGTTTTGGGATTAAAGTACTTAAGTTTTACTTCATTCCTAATTGGTTTAAAATGTCACAGAGCTCAGTCGTTTACCATGGAGGTCTGTTTCTCTTTTGGAGATTCCAGCTTGCTGTGGTGGCACAGAGTATAGGCCTAAACCTGGAGTTGGATAGACACAGGTGGTAGCTAGGATCTGGACTTTCACAGAAAATACAACATTTGTTTGGGATCAGTTGATTTGTTTTGTGCTCCTGAAACCTTATAAAAATATTCTTACAATGAATCAAAGAGAATTTCCTATCTTTTTTCTCACAAATTTATGACTTTAATCTCAGAAATTCAGAGTCTTATCTTGGAATATTAACCCCCTCCCTGGGCTTTGAATTTTTTTTTTTTCTTAGATGCAGAACAGAAGCTGAATCTGGGGATTTCCTTTATTGTCTTGCCAAAGGGCACTGAACTGGCTCAGTTGTTGAAAAACAGTGAGGTGTTGCAGATCTGAAAAAGAGAGCAATTTTAGATTTGCATCTTGTGAAGACTCACATGCCCTTTCTCACTTTTCAGTCACTAGAAATGTATTTGCTGTGACGGACTGTCTTATAAAAGTGAAAAATATCTAGATAATAATAATATTATGACCCATACTGTGAATTTGATCTGTTGTCCTCAGGTGGGATGGTGCTGAACCCATCCTACTTTGGTACTATGGGCCACCACAACACCATGATCCATGAGATGGGCCACATCTTTGGACTGTACCATGTCTTCAAGGGGGTGAGCGAGCGGGACTCCTGCGATGACCCATGTCAGGTCGGACTGTAAAATCTTCTCCTCCTGATAATACTACATAGGACAATGTTTTCATGATGCAAAGCTGTGCTGCATTTCCTTTTTGGGATTTTTTTCTCATCAGATTTCTATTGTTCTGTATCTGTGTCTTTTTCAGTCTTTATGTCTACACTTGCCACATGCTTAATGTGAACCTGCTGATATTTTTAATCATTTGAATTATATACGTTCAGCTAAATATAAAAGGGGTCGTTCTTCGTCTGTTGTCTGTAAAGTGTCCACACTTCCTCTGAGATCATCTGCTATTTGTTTTGTCATATGCACTTGCAGGAGACCACCCCATCCATGGAGACAGGAGATCTGTGTGCTGACACTGCACCAACACCCAAATCCAAAGCCTGCCACGACCCTGGAGCCGTCAATGATACCTGTGGAGTCACCATGTACCAAGACACACCGTATAGCAATTACATGAGTTACACAGGTACCATGAATAAACATTATTCAGTTTCCTTACTTGCAGGCATGCTGTCAGACATGTTGAAAATGATCAATGACCCGCAGACCAAGTCAGTTACACAGCATTGTTGTGTATACACTGTACATTATCAGAATAGTGATGAAGGAGGACATGAAACAGATGTACTGTCTAACATCCGACTGCATAATTAGAAGCAGTGCTTTTTTGTGCAGGACAAATTTCAGCTAGAATACAAACACATGGTTCTTGGTTACAACAGTCTTTAATCTATATCATTTGTTGGGGAAATGATATGATTGAGTGGACAGATGTGAGGCTGTTATGGAAAAGTAATGTTTCTCTGGACATGTGTAATACACAGCAACACAAGCAGGTACAACTACTGTGCATACTTCATACAAATAACTTGCATTACTTTATAAATTTATTTTGTGAAATTTTTTGAAATTTCTGCCAATTTCAGCATCATATGCATCATTTTCTCTCAAAACAGCGTCAGAATAACAAATGTCAGTGTATCCACATTGTATTATTGAAAATATTTCAGCAGTGTAGCCAGCAGATATCTGGGCTAAGACTTCCTTCTCCATGCGCTGGTCATTGTTTACAGTCCGCTTAGCAACTTGAGACATGAGAAATTGGTCAAGACCGCATTTTGGCTAAACTCTATCTCGAGATATTTGCGTATGAATGCAAACATTTTTTTAAAAAAGGCCAGTAAAAAGCTACAGTGTTCTCAGATGGTAGCGGATTGGTTTCAAGACTGCATTTCAGCCAATGCGTTCCGCCTCTTTTGCTCTCTACAAGGACTGTTTACCTGCATGCAGTCAAAGCCTCTCAAACATGATTGATTGCTTCAGATACCAAAATGTGTTTCTGTTGCCTACAGAATCTGCATTTATATGCAGATATATTTGTCATCTGAATGACAGTTTTTGCTCAAGACAACCTGTCCCTAAATCACCCATTTGTCAATGTATCTTTAGAGCAGAATGATATGATCATTATGGTAATTTTCATCCAAAATAACTCCTGAGCTACAGCATTAGATCTGAGTGTTGCCTGATAAACTCAGATTTCCTTTAATGCTCTCCTAAAGGTTTATAAAAGACATTGCTGTTGCACTTACAGGGTGTTATCTCAGCTCCTCTAACCCTAACCCTGACCCTCCTCTCAGATGTCTGCAATAAACCTAATTATTTCTAACCATGTGATTAACAAGGAAGTTAGATGAAAGCTAGTGTTTGAACATGATCTGCGATTCTAACCTGGGCTTTTTCCTTTCATTGCATCACATCAGATGACAACTGCACCAACCATTTCACTCCCAACCAAGTGGCCCGGATGCACTGTTACCTTGACTTGGTCTACCAGAAGTGGCTGATGGACCAACAACCTGCCCCCATCCCTCTGGCTGCCATAGTGACAGACCAAAGTCCGGATTCAGTCTCTTTCTATTGGCTGCCTCCTATAAGGGGCCCACTTTATCAGAGGTCAACAAAAGAGTCAACAAAAGAGTAATTTTTGACCTTTTACTGCAACTCATTCCTTTAACTTTTGCCTGTCTGCCCTGGTCTTGGTATCCTTCAGCTTTCTGCCATTGTCGATTTAAAGTAAAAAAACTACTGAAGCTGAGAAAGGCTGTGCTTGCAATGTTTTTTTTTTATGTCATTATCTTAAGATAATTATCTGTTATCTTGAGAAAATGAGCTTTATTATCTTGATATAACAAGACAATCTTAACTTAACTTATTGCAAAACTTAAAACGTTTATCAGAGATCAGGAGTGCCACGCCAGCATACATGAACGGTGTCTTGTCAAGTGTAGCAACTAATTTTGCTGAAAATGTCATTTCAAGGAGTTTGCATTATTGACCAATGCATCAGAGTTTACTTCAATCAAGGTCCAACACAGGCAGAGTTATTACTCTGTTATGAATCCTCACCAGCTGTCATGACAGTGACTTTGAAGGCTGATGTCAGGTGTGATCAAATAAACCAGACACTCATTTTCTAGTTCTCCATAATTATCCAGTATTCCTGAGAAAACGAAAGTTGTTTTTAGTTACAAATTATTGTGTGTTCTTGAGAAATTTGCCTTTCGTTTTCTTGGGAATTGACATAAATGAACTCCATATTGTGAGAAAACAAGCTTTGTTATTTCGAGATGATGAAATAATTAACTTATGATCTCGAGATAACGGCATTGATATATATAATCCCAAGCACAGCTGCTTTCAGCTTCCATAAAAAAAAAACAAAACAAAGGTCTGGTCTTAAAAAAGACACATTTGCCTTGTTGTAACAGGTGACAAACAAAATGAAATATTTCATATTAAGAAACTCTGTTTCCTTTTGTCCCAGCTCCTCCTTCCATGTGTCTGGTATCAACTGTGGAGACTGTGAGAAAGACGGTGTTTTCCACCAGTACGCCTCTGAGGCTACCTCACCCCGCATCTGTGACACGTCAGGCTACTGGACACCCGAGGAGGCAGTTGGTCAGTCACAAAACAGTGTGTGTGTGTGTGTGTGTGTGTGTGTGTGTAAAAGAGGGATGAACATTTATATATTTCTGACCAACAAAAAACAGAACAGTGTTCAGAATAGTCACCCTTTTCTTGTTGCAACATACTGTACATGCACCCCTTTTTCAAATCAATGTGAATATAAACAGAACACAATGCGAGAGGTTGTTGGAGCTGCATGTAAAGCCACAACTAAATTGTCAACACTTTGAGTCGAGGGTGGTCCGTGTATCATCAGATCATTCAGTTATTCCATTTTATATGGCAAACTAAAAACAAAAGAACGAGTCAATATTTTGTTTTTTGGGTTTTATAGGCTTTAAAAAAAATTAAAAAAAAGACTGCATGTTTTCTTGTTTTTCGTCTTGAATGGGTAATCTAATAAACAGAGAAACCAAAACCAAAGAACAAGTCTTAATTCTGTTTTTATGTTGTACCGTTTCTCCTTTGTGGGCATGTGCAGTCTGATCTGCAGCAGGCACTTAATTCGCAGGAGCACACAGATTCAAAGAAAGCATATTTTAAATAGAAAATTGAGGCAAACTTTAAAGAATTTGAAAAAAAATGTTGGAAAATTTAATAAGAGATAATAACCAGGTTCATCAGGGATGACAGATGGACTGTAGCCTGTTATAAACACAGGACTGAAGTGCACAGTAACCCGCTGCAAGATAAAAACAAGAAAAAAAATGCAATCATTTTCCTTTTTGAAACTGACAAAACCCCCCAAGAAGGAAAATATTGACTTGTTCTTGTGTTTTTCCTTTGCTAGATTAGATGGAATAATTGATAGATCGGATGATACACAGACAGAGGGTGTCTGTCAGTGATGAATTACTTGATCCAAATAGATTATTTCTCTACCACTGGAATCCATTAAAATAAACAATGGCCAAGTTGAAATAAAACCCGCTAGTGGTAAGGAGGCAAATTGTTGATTACCCGTCTTTCCTCCTAAAATCCACGGCTGACTAAGTTGAGTGCTTCGTCTGATACCCTCTTCTCTGTCAATGATTATTGACAGTGAGGAATGTGGCGGTTTCAGGTTTAAGTTTGTGTCCTTGAGTTCTACTTCTGTCTCTTGTTTCCACAGAGTAGATCAACCCCCTCCCGTCCCCACACACACACACACACACACACACACACACGTCTCTTCCCTGTAAATTTCAGGTGCGTGCAAGGCTAATGGCTCCTGGAAGAGGAAAAAGCAGAAAATCATTAAATGATAATTGCCCTCAGCTACAGACCTCTTTCTGTCTCTGTCTTGTTTTAGCCAAAGCGAGAACAAGGATTATTAGGCAAACCGTCTACTCTGGGTAATGTTTGGGTGCTGTTCAAACATTGAACCTCTGTCATAAACAAAAAGGCCAAAAAAAGTGTATCTTGTAGCACTGTACTTTGAAACATTACGCTTCATGTAAGCACATGGTCCTTGTTATTCCAATCATAATTTCTGCAGAAGCCCGGTTTCCTTTGGCAGGACATGTAGGGTGAGAGGAAACAAACAAGGGAGAAAAAAGGAACACAAGGAAGCAAACAAGCAAGTAAAGAGAAAGAAAGTTGATGTACAGATAGAAAGAACGAAATACCTCAAGAACACAATAACACTTTCCTTTTCTTCCGTGGAAACTCTACCCAAATATGTGGAAATCCTCTGCTGGAATTTATGCTTTGAAAACAAGCGGCGAGGAGGAACAGGGGGGATTACGGCTCCCTCTCTTTCGCTGCGGGATCATAATGATGATAAAGAGTCAATTACAGTCTTACTCTAAACAGTGGTATGCACACAGCTGAGGAGACAGCCAGTCTGCTGGCTACCCTGGCTCCCTTTTCACTCTTTCCCACTTCTGAAGACGATGATGCGCGGGGTCACTTTGTCAGCCAACGGAGATGGGCAATATCGCCTTCAGCGGGGGAAAGGGAGAGGGGAAATTGGACAAATTCAATGCGGATATCATGGCTGGCAACACAAAACACAAGTTTAATGGCAAAACACTGTTGCTTGGAATTGTTGGCAAGACTATCCTTTTACATCTCCTGAAAATGCTTCCTGTGCCACAGTCTGGACTGGTTTGAGTTTTCAGGCTGAGAGAAAACACCTCAGCCTGTTACAGGAGCCTGTTCTCCTGTTGAGAAGGATTGCATTAGTTTATGTGCTGCGCCAAGCATTAAAGTTGTTTATAATTCAAAATGAGAAACTAGGTGCATCATGGTGTTCACTGGACTGCAATTTGCAGAGAGTAGAAGGAGGGGATGACGGGTAGAAAAGTCCATACCTGTACAGGAGTAACGAAAATCTAATATCACATTTCTAAGCCGAATAAAGATGGAAATGCATAATACTTGTGAAGAAAATGAGTTGTGGCTACAGTAAAGTAATAGTCTATATAAATTAAGTAATAAAGAAGAAGAAAGAACATCAAAAATATTAAAAGTATTCAACATAACAATAGCAAAATATGAAAATGGGGAGTGTTTAGTTTGCAGAAAACCAGAAGAACTAAGTCAATGCTTAAACTTAAAATTTGTAAAGAAATATAACCCTAACTCTAACCGCCACAAGAATATAATAAGAATACATTAACATCAGAAAATAAGTACAAGAGTAAAACAATGTGATGACAATGTGGTATGTGTGCTTTGGGTTCTACAAGAGGCTATGCAGAAGGAGTTCATGTATGTACACTGTTAGTTTGTATTAATATACTGTATACAGTATACAGACAACTGAGGGTTTGAAAGGATTGTAATGATTTCCATTTGTTATATTTCACTGTATGGAAATTGTTGTCCTAGCTCATTATAGCTCATTACTTTATGTCATACAGAAAATACAGTGCCATGCTGGTGACACAATAATTTGATAAAAATCTATGACTATTCTCCTCCAGCTTTTTTCATTAACAAAATACTTCTAACAATTTAGGGATGCAAACAATTCACAACAATTCATATGCTTGATCATGCCTTTGAAATCTTAAAGCTGCATTAATGCAAATTTTGGCCACATGGGGGCAGTGGAACAAGAAATAAACACTTAACATATTATCACCTTCTAAAGTCATTATTGCAAACATGTTAGCAAACAGTTTGGTGTGTTAAAAGTGCTGTATATAGCATTCAGAGCATTAATAAAGCAGCAAACACTTCTTTATTATGTAAAGATATAGTGGAATAATGACATCCTGAGCAGAGAATTAAGTCATGCTACCTCTGAGTGTGTTGTAGTCCGAGCTTCTGCCTCTCTGGTTGCAGTATTTTTTTTTAAAAGCATGTCCCTCCAGTTTGAAACAGATGTGGGGAAAAAAGTGCGCATCCTACTAGCTAGCTAATCGCTACCTTAACCCAGATTCGGCAGAAGCACAACGCCCCCTACTCTACACTGTTAGCTCTGTCTGTTGCTGTTGCCGTTGTTAACCTTGTTCACGCTGTTAACACCGTTAGCTGCTGGCTGCAAACTCAGACACCTCCATTATGAGAGCCATGTGCAGACAACCTGAATCAGACACTGAATCATGGAAACGCTGCAAATGTCGTATACAGCTCCTTTAACTGCACCAAAAAAAGTGACGTTTTCTGAACTTAATAGAAGAAATTAACAAGCAAATTTGTTTAGCAGTGGGTAGGATGGGCTTCTTCCATATTTCTGTGCAGCTAGACGTAAAGGAGAAATGATTGATCAGGGATCATTGATGCAGGGAGTGTATTTTCAGACTCATGACCATGTATTATAATCTACGTTTTATCAGCATGTCTAGTATTCCAAACGTTGTGAAAATTTAGGGTGCTAAGAAACTTCAGCAGCCCACAGAATTTACAGTTATTGGGTAATTTTATGCCTATTTAGACCAGTCTTGACTTTATTTACTTGCCGTTCTTTGTCTTTCTGACAGTTTGGCGACCCCTTGAGCTTCCACAGATGGCTGATCACAGCGGGTGTGAAATATGTAACACCTCATTAACATCCTGATTTTATGTGGCTTTTTGGGACACAGCTGATAATAAAACTAGTGTAAAGTGATTCCATTGTGTTAATCACTAACACTGTAACAATTAACAACTCATTTTGCCTGGTGCAATAGAGTTACTGCTGCATTTTTGAATGTGGGCCATGATTTAAATATGGGGGCATGACTCTTTCTCATCTGGAAAATTCTGCTCTCTCTTGTTTCTAATGAGAATGAGTTTGCTGGCAGTTATTAAAAGTAATATAGGGAAATGGGTTAAACTGGTCACTGTTACATAGAGGTGGACAAAACATGAAAACATTTTAGAGTAAAATATTTCACTGGAGGTATTATTTATTAAAACTTAAGCAACCTGCGTCATCAGGACTGTGTGGGTATGATCAGATTTGATTCACAGTGACATCTACCTAGCAACATAAGGCCACCCCACAGCTGTCATATTCAAATAATACTAAATTTTGTTGGGTGCAAAAAAAAAAAAAAATCACCTTTGGGGCGTCAGTAGCTTAGTGGATAGTGCCGGCGCCCTATGTATAGAGGTGATGCCTCGCTGCAGCGGCCGCGAGTTCGACTCCGGCTTGCAACCCTTTGCTGCATGTCATCCCCCCACTCTCTCTGTCTCCCCATTTCACACTGTCCTGTATATTAAAGGCATAAAGCCCAAAAAAATAATCTTTAAAAAAAAAAAAAATCACCTTTTTTGAACTGAGCTACTTCAAACCAGCGAGAAGAGCACTGGCAGACACGAAATACAGATATTTCTCAGCTGAAATAACCAAAAGTGTCCTAACTTTGACAGAAGGTTGTGTGTTAACGTTGAATCCCCTCATTTATAGTATAAAGCTGATTGGAAAAATATGTTTTCAGGTCCAGCAATACAGCCATGCGATATGTGGTAAATACATTGATATGAACAAATGTGTTTCTAGATTTATCAAAAAGTTTAATGAAAGATATGTTAGACAGGTAGCAAGTCAGAGTTATTCATGAGTCATAAATGTACACAGGTTAATGTTAGACTGCCACACATACACACAACCCCTATCCTCTTTGCATACAAATTCCCACATGTGGAAAAAACATGCACTCACTGCCAGTAACACAGTTATTCAGACTCATGCCTTACCCTTTACAGTCCAACCACAGTCCTTTACCGCTGGGCAAAGAGCAGCTTCACTCAGGAGGAGAGGATGTTCCACACAAATTCTTGTCAGATTTACACAGCAGGTTTACAAGGAAAAGCAAGTCCAGTGTGTTAAACCAACTGGGTGAGAGAAGGGTTCATATTAATGTCTGAATAAATCAATCTATCACTGTCAGTGGTTAGTTCTTCTGCTCTGTGGGGGACTCTGCAAGCTCACCAAACTTCATAATGATGGCCATAGCTGAATCAGGATTATGATTGAGCTACACATGGTGTGTTCCCAGCTTTAGAATAATGCAATGGATGAATCATTGAGAATACAAATGAATACAAATGTGTGTGTGTTTGTGTGTGTGTGTGTGTGTGTGTGTGTGTGTGTGTGTGATGTCATTTAACCCCAGGCCCACCTGATGTGGAGCAGCCCTGTGATCCCAGCCTCCAGGCTTGGAGTCCTGAGCTCAGCCTTTATGACACTAATGTGACCTCACCATGTCCCGACACAGAGGGCTGCACCCTCACACTAAGGTTCCTCCACCCTATTGTCCCACACGCGCTTACCCTCTGGGTCACCTACATCTCTTCAAGTAAGTAACAACTTAATACCATCGGTTTGTCAGATATGTCAGATAACACTACTGTTCAAAACATTTTTGGTGGCAATAGCTCGGACCATACGGACTTGGCTTGGGAAGCTGGTTCAAGTCCCCATTTGGACCAAGCATGGAGCATGGACTGGTGCTCCCAAGCCCTGACATCTCTCCATTTAATGCATGTATAGGTCTGGTCTAGGATAGGACTGATTAAGCATGGGGGGTGAGGTGACATAGGCTGAAATCAAGCCTGCAGCTGTTGTGGCAAGGACCCACTGAGCTACTGAGCTCCCCCTTAGTATGAAATTTGCTGCTTATGGAGATGTTTGAAATGTTTCTGGGCACTCACATCTGGCAGTTCATATATATATGTATATATATATATATATATACAGTTTTTAATCTTTGGAGGGAACCTATTATGCTTTTCCTTGTTCTTTGTCGTATTTATAGAGTTACAGTGTTTGATCTTCATGGTAAATGTGGCCAAAGTTTCCAATAATTAAGTAAATTAATGTAAAAGTATTCCCTGTGTATAAAAATGTCAGGCTTCAGATTGTTCTGAACACTCTGTTTCTAGTCATTTTTTTCTACTTTTGTGACAAGCTGATGTCAGTGCGTGACAGATTTTTATATATGGTCATCTGCCCAGGGCACGCTACTGCAAGTGTTTACATGATGTAGCCTATACTGCTGCATGTAGCTGCACGCCAGAGTCAGGGAAAATGTAAAATTGGTTGCCTGTGTTGTTAATTTCACCCCGACTTCTGATTATTCCTGCTGTTTTTTTTTTCATGCTACAAAGTGCTGGTGTACTCCACTGCGGTCATTCTCCGGCTGCAATGGCAGTGCAGAGACACAGAGATAGAGAAAACCCGAATGACACTGACCATTCAGAGCAGACTGGGCTTTTCAGGGACAGTTGCTAAAAGGGAGTGTTTCAAACAGAGGGTGAATGCAGGTGTTCCAGCACATACAGTAGGAGGAAAAGGAAGTTTTTTATAAACATTAAAGCATGTCAACATGTTCAAGTAGAGACCCATAATACAAGTATGAATCTGAAAATGAGCATAATATGTGTCTTATATGATTTCAAGCATTTGCATATTGTACTTATTTTGAGCCAGGAGAGAAAGGCTAGAAAACCAGTAGTCAGATACTATTGTCCATGAATACATGAATGAGACTTTTACTTCCAAAGTCCTGGCCTCCAGATGTAACCGTTGCTACTCTAAGTGTGGAACAGCTGACATATTAAGCCAATCTGTCTGTATTACCTTGTCACAGGCAACCCAGCCATAGCCAACATAGAGCTGATAACCGACACAGGGAAAAGCATCAACCTCGGACCCCAGCATGTCTTCTGCGACATGCCCTTCACCTTGCGCCTAGACACCCACAACACCGCCGTCGCCGCCATAAAACTCTGCACCTTCGATGAGAAGATGGAGATCGATGCTGCCATGTTGTCCTCAGGCTCCAGCAGCCCTCTGTGCTCCGGCTGCCAGCCTCTGCTGTACAGGATTCAGCGGCAGCCGGCCTTCACCAGCAAGTCCCCCTCACCTCAGACCCAGCAGACGTTCACTGACAGGTAGATGCTGGATGTTGTCACGTTTGTTGAGGCTAAATCTTTTATTTATTTGCTTTTACTTCAGTTAAGGCTCAGTGAACGGTGAGGTAAAAAGTTTTTATTTTGCATTAACAACAAATTTCATTGATTTACTCTCAGGCCTTTAAAGTCATGCCGCACATTGTAATAGTGATCCCAGCTGGAGAATAACCTGAACAGGTACAGGCAACCACAGTGCATAATGGGAATTGACAGGTGTGTTGATTTTCTGTCCAAACCACCCGAAAATACCCAAGACTCCACCTGAGGCAAGTTCCCGAGTCTGGTTTTCTCTCAGGTGTAGATGAATATTTATAACTGTTGACTGGAGGCTGTGCCAACCGCTAATGCTGGGTACATACGCACACCAACACATGCAGACACACACACGGCCTTTGCAGACATCAGCAGCTCAGAGGAAAATAAGACTGAGGGTAAAAAAAAAGTAACTTAGGGGCTAATATGGACTTAAAGTCCCAAAGCAAACCTCTGTGTCTGTGTGTGTGTGTGTCCTCAGATCTGCTAATCCACAGTTATCTGTCTCTCAAAAGTGTTTGGGTCTGGTTCTGTTTGAAAAGCTCCGAACGCAAATGTTTCCAACATGGGGATGCCGAGCTACGGCTACTGATCCAAATCTGTTTCAACAAGCATATACTCAATCAAAAGCATGCTGACATTTCGGGGCTAAGTCGAATCAGTTTGTACAGTGTCCCATCTCGTATTCTGGGGTGTCCAAATGATTACCGGAATCTAAATGTAAAGCCACAAGCCAGTTTTTTTTAACCTTCCTAAATAGCTGCCAGGATATGACAGTTGTGTCACATGATTGAAGATGATTTGGGGCTTGATTTCAAATGTTGGGACACTCTCAATAGCTGAGAAGCTGTTGCTATTTTACAAAGCAGGGCGGATGTTAGGTGGACACAGCTTCAAAAAACAGTTTATTTTTCAGGGAACACGTCTCCTACGTTACACAAGCTGTGTCTAAGTGCAAAAAGATGTAAGAACCAGTGGGAATTGAGTTATGTGGGACTGTGGAGGGCAGAGAGGGGTTGATGTGAGGAGAAGAGAGTGTTTGAGAGCAATGAGTTTGGAAAAGAAGGGAGAGGGAGCAAGGAAGGGTGGGATAATAGAGAGAGGAGAAGATGAAAAAGAAGAGGAGAGAGGGGGGAGACAAAGGGAATTGGAAGAGATACAGATAAGCGTATGTGAGACACAAAAGAGATGTGGGAAGAGCAGAGGTCTGAAGGAAAGAAATGAAACTTAAGATACTGTAGGTGAGAAGCAAGCGGTGAGGAAAGGTAAGAGGGGACAGGGGGAGACGACAGCACAGCTGAGGTGAAGCAAAGTAAGCAGAGGCATATTTTTTTTCTCTTTTGGACCACAAACAAAATGTGAGCAGCAGAGGCCATAAACACCAGTGACTGCTTGGATCGGGTCCTTAGCCGTTTCCTCCTGCTGAACTCGCACTATGGTCAGCACAGGCTGACTGAGGAGAACACAGACAGGGAGAGTTGAGTGACGAGGACTAGAGGAACTGTTCAAATAATCAAAACACGACTGACATCTTTGTTAATCAGGTAGTCTGTCACTGCACATTGAAGGAAATCATTTTCATTTTCAAACGAATAAATAATGTTTGCTGTACAAAAACAATCAGAACTAGTTCCGGAGACTTATGTCCGACCACATTGGAGACAAAAAACGTTTATAGTTGTTTGGAACAGCCACTCTGTCAGAGTCTGTTTCCCCATTGATATGTGTTTCCCCTTACTTTGCCTGAACCTAACTATCTCTAACCCCAACAGCAGTGGGAAACACTGTCTGAAGGGGGAACACAAGGCTATTACAGGGACTGCAGAGATGCAGATATTGTTTTAATACGGGGATAATGCCGCACATTTTCAGACAGTCTCCTGGATTACATTTATAGTGTTGCACTCGTTCGTTCACTAATAGTACCACAAATATTTTTGTAAAGAATGAAAAAA